AATGTTTGTCATGCTCTCTCGATGTGTACTCAAAGGTGCCAAAAGTTCAAAAAGGCAAAGAAAAAGATATTGGTGTAGATCAGGTGTCCACCTCTCAATCCCTTCCAAACACATACGCGTTCTCAGCATTATTTTAAGCTCCGCCCATCGGCTTAAGGGCTACTCTGCCTTTGGGCCATGCGTTAACATAAACAATGAATCGCAACAGCCAAGGTTCAGTGCGTAGCTGTAGCATCAACACAGCTGGACTCGGTTAACGCGAGTCGTGCGCAGCCACACTTGGAAACAAACACGTGCTGCGTTCCGCGTCTACCGGCCAGTCCTTCAGGCCCGGCTGCCGCAGAAGCTTCGCTGGGTCTGAGAGGCCTTGCTGGGTCTGCGAGGCCCCGATGTTCGATCCGCCGGTCACGTAAGCGACGCCAGCCGAACTGGGGCAAAGACAAATACCCCGCCAACACAAAGCGCTTGGTGCGGCGCTGGCGAGGAGGGCCGGGCGCGTGCCGTCCCGAGAGGCCGAGATCGCGTCCCATCGCGCTGTGCCGGCGGGCCGGACCGGTGGACCTCCCGGCACGGCGTCCGGGTTTCACCGGCCGCACGAGGGCTCTTATTTATGGCCGTCCTCAGTCTGTGCCGTCCTGGTGACATCACGCCCTCAGGACAGACTGCGACGCGACGCTCCTGAAGCGCGTGGCTGTGCTGCACCGCTGGAGCTGGTGTGGCGAGCTGCACCACTGGAGCGGCGCTCCTGAGGCGCGTGGTTGTGCTGCACCGTTGGAGCTGGCGTGGCGAGCTGCACCGCTGGAGCGGCGCTCCTGAGACGCGTGGCTGTGCTGCACCACTGGAGCTGGCGTGGCGAGCTGCACCGCTAGAGCGGCGCCCTTGAGGCGTGTAGCTGTGCTGCACCGCTGGAGCTTGCGTGCTCCTGCGGGCGATGATCGTGCCACGCTTCTGGGAACGATTGGCTGTCACGGTGCTCTTCTGGGAGACGGATGGCCATGAATATTTCCTCATGGCCGGCTAATCATAATCATCGCGCCTACTACCTATTCGATGCGTGCCTGGGAATTTTCTGATTTCGTGCTGCGATTGACGATGTTGTCTTGGTCTGTGGCTCAATGCGCATTGATCCACGTCCGTGACAAAAGGTGCTAATCCGGAACTGCAGCCGCAGCTCTTACCCCGCCATAATGCCGACCTTTAGCTGTCTCTGGTGCGATCCAGAGGCCAATGACACCGGTCCACCCTGCGGATTGTCCTGTCGATCCCGGAGTTGATGACATTGGTCCACTGCTCGGCCCCCGAGCGCCGGCGCTGACCGCTGGAGGCCAGCACCCGGCTGGCCGCAGCTGGCAGCGCCCCGACACCTGCGCCGGGAGGGGGCAGTCTCGCCGCACCGAGTGATCCCCGTCCGTGACCCCGGCCGGGCGGCGGAGGGGCGCGGTTTCCGCCACGCGCGGTCGGCGCCCCGGCGCAGCGCCGTGGCCGGCTCATTATGGAAGCGCGCGAGCGGCCCCGCCAGTGACGGCTCCATCACCGCCAGAAACAAAAGATGACAGCGTCGCTCTTCAATCACAGCCGACGGCCGGGTAATCTGCTGCTCAAACACGGCTGCGGGGCCGCGGCCAGGGCGCCGTTTACCACCCGACCGAGCGCAGATCGGCGCTGTCTGTCGCTTTGTTCCGCCTTATGGATGGCTCTATCGCTCTGCTAAACGACCGGGTGCCCCGTATTGATTGCCTTTGTATAGACAAGGAGCCGAAGGGAATTCACAGAGAGCGCTGAAAAAACGCTGAAGAGGGAATCAATTTTATATCCGAATATAGCCGCCACACTGTACAACTCAGGAGCGCTCTATAAGGGGCGCGTCAGGCTACACCTATCGCTTGCTACTGCCACCTTTTATAGTAATATGAAATGATCGATTAGCCCACTGAACTGCAGTATCAGATCGCTGCGATCTTTCCGCACTTCACACTTACCAAGTACGGTATGCGAAGACTTTCGTAAGAGTAGGTGCTTTTACTAAAGCGTGCTACTCGACATATTTTAGGCGTTTTAACTCTTCCAATCGCTTCAGCCTGATATTTTCGGTTTATGCCTTGTCCACATCTCCTTTTTATGGCGTTCGACGCGCGTTAAAAAAGTGAAGGCATCAGCAAAACTGACAAAAACACAACCAAAAATGCTTAAAATTGGATCTAAGACCGCTTGCTTGTCACATTGTATATCACACCTGAGGTCCAAATATCCACCTGTACTCTCCTTAACATGCAGGTAGATAAGAAAGTTGCATTCCAAACAGTTTTGCTAATTCTCTACAATAATGACGAAACGAGTTGCTCTTGGGCTCTTCTCTTAAATAGCTCCCTTAAATAGCTCCGTGACCAGGCGAGAGATGGGATAGCACATATCCTGGTTGCAACATCATTGGAGTTATTGAAGAGTATGACACATTCAGCAAAACTGTGGCGCGGGCAGATACCGGTCTGCAGCCTGGGATTATGCACACCGTGCGATGAGCACGTGCACGTGTGAACAGACCATTAGATACACCTTTGCAACCCTACACCATTCCTGCAAGATTGCTCGAAACACTTCAGAATGTTTCAGACCTCAACGAAAACGGCGAATGATAGTACTGATTAGGACAAGGGTCTCAGTTTGAGCTTGTGTGAAGGCCGACACCAGATATCATGACTTGAAACCACGGAGCCATGCACTTTGGAACTGCGTCATATGAGCATACACGCCATGAAAGGCCAATCTCTTCAATGCCTCTTATCTCTGAACAACAGCGTGTCAAAGAAATACATCCCATTTTCTGCTCATGAGCATGCATGTTTGGATATACGCAAAGCTGTTAGATATGCGTAGTCTCATGTTTTGTGTTCTAAAATCATGCTTAGGATTACAACAACAACAAAAAAAAAGCGCCCGCGCCTCCTCGCGCCGGGCATTCGCGACTGTTTGAAATGGCTGACTCATTGACTAAAAACTATTACTTCTTGTACATATCCTAATGAATAGAATATATGTACATGTGAAATGTTAACATAGCCGTGCTTTATTAAACAGGCATTCCAAACGGTGTCTAAAGGCTAAGTTGCGCTCAAACGCGTGCATAACTTCAAGGAAAAGAACCTCCAATAAGTCATCGGTGTGTGGGGCGGGGGGAGGCAGGAACAGCTTATTTCTATTTGTTTACTACGCGGGGCTAAGAACCGATGGAAGTTTTGTAAATGGATAACGGTGCTGCCTTCTTTGCTTCCACGTCACTTGTCGTACCGCATTGTCTTTTCGCTGTTATCTATCTTCCAACCAAAACGACCGATTTAAAGCAGCTATGGCTTTCCTGGCTTCGCATTCGTACGTCAAAAAGATCAACTGATGGATAGCTCTAGAGCGGAAAATTGTGGATGCTCCCCAGTGACACGTGAAATATATGCAGGAAAACATGGATAACAGCCATGGAAGACTTTTACTGGACAAATTTTTCCTTTGTTTTTGGAAGTTGAAGAAGAAAAAAGAAGCCCTAATCCAGACCAAATGTGTTGTCCCATCACGTAGCCGACCGCTCCCCTCCAAAAAAAGTTTGCTAATTTGGTATCGATACGCAAAGTACATGTCATGGCAGCGTGGTCATCCGTTTCCCCGGCGTCCCCGGAGAGCAAGCGCAAGTGTGCGTCTCGGCGGTGGCTAACGGTGCGGGGCACGGGTACTTTCTCTCGGCGCGGTGCGGCGCGGCGCCGCCGACGGCGGCGCGCCGGCCGCGCCGGGCTAGTCCAGTGCCGGCGCGCCGCCCCGATGGACGCCTACCTGCGCGCGTGGTCGTTCGGGTAAGCCGGTGTGTGGGGCGCGGGCCGGGCCCGCTCCCCCGGGGGCGGGCGGGTCCGCTCGGTGCTCCGCGGCGGCTGTGGTGGCGGCTGCGAGAGGGGCACGTGACGGGTGGCCGGCTCCGGCGAGGAGTGACCAGGCGGGGCGAAGGACATGGTGACGACGCGACGCGCCGCGCGATCGGGCTCGGCGACCGGTTCGCGCGGTGGTGAGGCTTGCCACTGGTGTTGCTTCCCTGTGACGCAGACCTCGTGGAGATTGGAGGGTGATGTCGTCAGTGAGGGGAGGCACTGGGGGGGGGGGGGGGGGGGGGGCATCGTAACGGCCGCAGACAGTGAAGCATGGTGCAGTGATAAGGGACGTCTCCGACGCCAGGACAATGTTCTGGAGCGTCAGAAATAGCGCACAGTTATGCCGGTGCTGAGAATGATAGATGACTTTCGTGTTACCCTTCCGGAAGGGGTTGTGGAATCAGCACGACCTGGAGAGTGCGAGAATGATGACAGCGTTTATGACGTCAAAAATATGAGCGCCGAGGGGGTTAGACGTTGGAGCACTAAGTGATCGCTGGGATAATCGCCGTATCGGTGGGCAAACGGCGACATTGTTAGCTGGAAGCTCGGGGCATGACAGTACGATTAGGCGCCAGGGAGGCGGCGTCACGACTGTGTGACACGTGACGCTATCGGAGCCATGATCAGTCTTTACATTTGATTAGTGTCGTGGGAGACACCTGCCGTTGCTGGGACGCAGGGATAAGACGCGGCTGGGTCATGTGGGAGACCTCGGCTCCAAACGACCGGTCGGCACGCGACGCCGAGGCCCGCCCTTTTAACACGCCCAGACATCGTCTGTGCTCCCTCATACAGCGGCGCCGCCGGCGTTGCGCAGGGGTCTGCCGGCGTCACGCCAGCTCCAGCCGCGTCGGCCGGCATCCGTGCCCAGCGTCAACACTTAACGGCTGGCGGCGCCCGCGCACACGCCGACCGTGCGGCATTGGTCGTGAGGTCGCGTAGCGCTGGCAGCCGGCGCCGCGCTGTCCGGCCACTTCGCACCTATTGTCTCGCGTCGTAAACCGACGCCGTGGAGTCGCGCAGCGTTTCCATCAAATTGGACACTCTGCTCAGAGACGCGCGGCATTCTCGGCCGCTGGAGATGGCCATCGGCCGTCCAATTATCCCGCAGCTAGGTTTAGCCTCGGCACGTCCCGCGTTTCCTTGCCTGCGGCGACCGGTGTCCGTCGCTGGCCGGCTCTCGCCGCTCGGACAGCAACGCCGCTCGACGGCCGGGCCCGGCTAATCGCCCAGGCACGCTCCCTGCCCCTCCCCCTCCCCGGACACGACAGCCGGTCTCGTGGCGTGCGCAGTTGACTTTTGTTTTAATTGGAATTAGCCGGGCGCACCTCTGCACGTCGTCGAAGCGCGTCCGTATTTGGCGCGATCAGCTCGCGGCGGCGCCGGCGATTACCAGGCACTCGCGTCGCCGCCGCCAGATGACAATCGGCAGGGTGCAGCGACGTCGCGGCCATTTTGGCCGGACCGGGGCGCAGGAGCACGCCCGCCCGGCCTGTCATAATGGCATCGGGCAGGCATCCGTCACGCCGCGCAGCTCCGCTTCGCGTCGGCCGATCGTGTCGCAAGCCGCGAGCGGCGATCGCGGCGGTGATCGCGCGCGCGTCGCCACCTCCAGGGCGCGTCATGGTCCGACCTCGCCGGCCGCGGCAAGGGTGGCGGCCTACGCGCAGCCGCGCCGCTGCTTTCGATGCGAAGCGTGCGGATTTTGATCGGGGCGCGAGCGAGGTCGTATGAGTAATCAAACTGGGACGGCCTCCTCATCCGGGAGTTCCGCGCATATCACATTCTGATTGCGGATGCTTGCACGGATGCTTGCATGTGGCGTAAGCTTTGTACAGTAGCCTTTATCGCCTTCATCCTTGCTGAGCGGTCCGGCTGCGTGCCGCCTCACCTTTCCTCTTATGCGCTCACGCACTTTGCGCGTTCCGGCTGCGCTTAACCGGCTACGATCTGGCCTAGCCAGCCCTGTCCCAGTCGGGCTTTCCGAGTCTGAACTGATCTGACCTGACCTAAACTGGTCTCCCTGGACCGACCCCAAATGCTATCTTCTTCTTCAAACTCGACTTAACTCGATGAATGCTGTCCGGAGCGTGACGCAACCTACTAACGATCTGTCCTGCCCTACCCTGCCCTTGTCTGCCTCGCTTTACCTTACCCTGTCGTGTCCTCCACTGGCCTGAATTTTCCCGGCCGACATGCGCTGTCCTGATCTGCTCTGAACTCTGACCTCGCCGGACCTGACCTTCCCCGATTCACGAGAGTCCACGGGGGCTAACCCCTCCTGCTGCTCTGCTGCACCGCGGTAGGCCTGAGCTGATAGACTCAGATCTCATCTAGCCTGATCTGCCCAGGTTCACAGGAGTCCACTGGGGCTGACCCCCCCCCCCCCCCTCCCTCTGCCCAAGCTGACGCACTTGACCCTCATCTGACCTGACCCACCCTGGTTTGCAGGAGCCCTCCGGGTGGCGTCTCCGGCGGCAGCGGCTTGCCCCAGGCCAAGGGCACTGACGAGGAGCTGGGCCTGCTGCTGACGGCGCCGGCCGCAGTGAAGCGAGAGGCGGAGGATCTGACGGCGCGCCGCTCGCCCGAGCCGACCGAGGAGCGGCGCGCCGTCATCGTGCATGGCGCCATGGAGCTGGGGCGTGACGAGCCGACCGGCAGCCCCGGCCGCTACGGCGCCGTCCAGCAGCCGGTGGCGCTGCTACACTCCGACTCGCCCAGCCCCAAGGACATGACGGCCGTGCACTACCCGGCCCAGTACACGGGCCTGGCACCGGCGCAAGTGTTTGCCGAGCCGCTCTCGCAGTACAGCACTCTGCCGCCGTCGCCGACGGGCGGCTACGGCGGCGGCGGCGGGGCTGGCCTGCGAGCCGCGCCGTACGCCACCGAGCCCTACTACCGCGACTACTACCCGGCCGAGCAGTACGCCGCCGGCCGCGCCGCGCCGCTGTACGCCGACAGCCAGGAGGGGCACGCCCAGTTTGTGGAGCGGTACATGAGGCCCGGGGCGTCGGCCGCGTACAAGCTGCCGGGCCAGGGCCTGACCGTGGACCTGCCCTCGCCGGACAGCGGCATCGGGGCCGAGGCGCCCACACCACGCGACCAGGCCAGCGGTCTGCAGCAGGTCAGTCAATGGGTGCAGGGCAGATACGGGCAGCAGTCTGTAGCAGGTCAGTCAACGGGTGCAGGACAGATACGGGCAGAAGTCTGCAGCAGGTCAGTCAACGAGCGCAGGGCAGATACGGGCAGCAGTCCGCACCTGCTCAGTGAACGGGTGCAGGGCAGATACGGGCAGCAGTCCGCACCTGGTCAGTTCTATCGGGACCAGCCACAGACTCGGACACAAGTTCTGGAGTTTAACAAGCATCCACTTTCTTATTGAAGGACGTAACAAGACGTCTGTGCAGATGCTTTCCTCCGGCAGATCTATGCTTTTACGGGGAGACCTCCTAGGCTTGCGTTTGAAATGGAGGCGTCTCGAAGGGTCGGCTGGCCTTAAGCAGCAGGCTAGCCATGCCTATAGTCGACGCATCGTTGTTGGTACAAGATTCGGCTCTGCTCTAAGCAGTGACGGTCCAGCTGATAAGGATCGGACCCAGAGAACCAGTGACGGTCCAGCTGATATGAATCGGACCCAGAGAACCGGTGACGGTCCAGCTGATGTGGATCGGTCTCAGAGAACCGGTGACGGTCCAGCTGATGTGGTCGGTCTCAGAGAACCGGTGACGGTCCAGCTGATGTGGATCGGTCTCAAAGAACCGGTGACGGTCCAGCTGATAAGGATCGGACCCAGAGAACCAGTGACGGTCCAGCTGATATGGATCGGACCCAGAGAACCGGTGACGGTCCAGCTGATGTGGATCGGTCTCAAAGAACCGGTGACGGTCCAGCTGATAAGGATCGGACCCAGAGAACCAGTGACGGTCCAGCTGATATGGATCGGACCCAGAGAACCGGTGCATATCAACACCAGATGTTTTTCGAGTTGACATCGGCAAAACGTCCTTGCTGAACGACATGACTTCCTTGTCCTTATTTCGCCAGTCCGTCTTCTTACATAAGAGATGTTGTGGTTTTGGAGTTTGTATTATGCCTAAGACGGATAGCATCACTGTATTCGTCTGACACAAACAAGAAAAAAACAGGCTCATTGTCGAGCGAGGGATGCCACAGCGGTGTCATTTATCTAAACGTCAAAAGGCTGATGAATTTGCTTGAATCTGGCTTGTAAAGTCATGCACCAGAAAAAAACATTGCAATGCGCCACGGAAGTATGCACACTTGTGTATCCAAGCTACGTACAAAACATTACTTTGATTTTTAAGCGAATGCTCTGTACAGAAGAACGTGATGCGAAGCCATGGCCATTCCGTCCGCCATTGTCAAAATGCCTAATCCCAACACAGATGCCGATCTGTGCATGAAGCCTGTCGCTACGTTATATATGGTCAGAGAGGCTAAAACTGTTCGAAACTGCACGTCACGTATCGGTAAAAGCAGTCCTACATGTTGTAACGACGTGTTATTATATTGTTGTTGCATGCAATGCAGGTTTAACCTCACTAGAGATTTTTACGATCCAATGTTTTGCAAGTCGTTTCTCGTTGGTCAGTGTTTTTATCCCTGCAACTACTTTTGATAACTGCCAGCCACTATTTGGCATTGAGAATCGGTCGTATCTTGATTAACATTGCGAATAGCTCCGGTACCGTGCATCATGGACGCATCCGTTTTCTTCTTTATTAAACACAAAGATCGAATAGAGGTCGATCTCCTGCGATGCTGCGTCTCAGAAAGTTTTGCATTGTGTTCTCAGGCAAAGAAAACTATGTTTATCTCCGGAATTTAAGGATCGCTCCGGACACAGGTGGAATGGAAATGAACGAGATATCGTCCCTCTTTTGCCGATTTGGAGATTTCTGTCGGCATTGACTGATGTCGGTGATTATTGATGGACTTCTGAGAACATTCTGCTGCCTTTACCACCGAATCAGCAATGCCAGTCATTATTGATAGCTTTCTGGGAACGGTCTGCTGCTTTTACCACCGATTCAGCAATGCCAGCCATCCTGAGCGGTTACTTCTTGGAACGGACAAGCATTCTGCGCATCCTTTTACCGTTTAGAAACATTCAGTAGTTGCAGCAATAAGATGCCGATGATTTCAGGCATCTCGCGGAAAAACTCTACGTCATCAAGGATGCTTGCCCCGTCGGTTAATTGACAACACGCGGTTAATGCAGGCGATACGAACACGGCTCTGGCAAGTAAACTTGTGGACGGATCAAATTTCACCATTTGGAAACAATCGCGATAAACTAACGCAGGCGGCGAGATCGGAGCGCTGCGCCTGCTTTCTGGCCGACAATGCGGCGCCGCACCTCATCCGCCGCCAATTAGCGCGCTCCGGTCATCGGGGAGCCGACGCTCCGGTCTCCGGCTCCGGTCGCTCCGGTCGTCGGGGAGCCGGTCGCTCCGGTCTCCGGCTCCGGTCGCTCCGGTCGTCGGGGAGCCGGTCGCTCTGGTCTCCGGCTCCGGTCGCTCAGGTCGTCGGGGAGCCGGCGCTTCGGTCTCCGGCTTCGGTCGCTCCGGTTGTCGGGGAGCCGATCGCTCCGGTCTCGGGCTCCGATCGCTCCGGTCGTCTGGAAGCCGGTCGCTCCGGTCTCCGACTCCGGTCGCTCCGGTCGCCGGGGAGCCGGCGTTTGTCGTGAAGTGGAGCGTGTACGTGGCCCCACCGCCGTCTCCGCCAGCGGAGCTGATGTCGGCTGTCGGCCGGCGGGTCGGACTCGGGCAGGGAGCGAAGGCGGGTAGGACGCGGGCAGGGAGCGAAGGCGGGCAGGATGCGGGCAGGGAGCGAAGGCGGGCAGGACGCGGGCAGGAAGCGAAGGCGGGCAGGACGCGGGCAGGGTGCGGAGGGCGGCAGGATGCGGACAGGGAGCGGAGGCGGGTAGGACGCGTGAGCGTGCAGGGCAGGAGGGTATGGCATATGGAGCGGGCAGGGACATGGATGGTTAGGGCGCGAGGAACGGGCGGAGTTCGGGCAGAGGCGGGCGGGGAGTGGGCAGAGCTCGGGCAGGTGCGGATAGGGCGTAGGGAGCGGGCAGAGCTCGGGCAGGTGCGGATAGGGCGCAGGGAGTGGACAGAGCTCGTGCAGGTGCGGATAGGGCGCAGGGAGCGGGCAGAGCTCGGGCAGCTCCGGATAGGGCGCAGGGAGCGGGCAGAGCTCGGGCAGCTCCGGATAGGGCGCAGGGAGCGGGCAGAGCGCGGAGGGTGGGTGGATGAAGGGAAGAGCACGGCGCGGGGAGAGGACAGGAGCAGAGGTGAGCCGTCAGCAAGTAGCGATCGAGGGTGTTCGGAGCGTGAGAATGGGCGGAGATTGGCTGAGCAAGGAGCAGCGGCAGGCGGGTAGGGGCGCTCACCAATCCCCGATATTACTGCCCAGCTGAAACACGCTCCATGCGCAACCAGGTAACCAGTCCAAATAGCCAAACGTGTACATCAGAGATAGAGAGTTTCGCCGGCTGGGTGGGCTGCTTTAACTTGAAAAACATTACGTGTAACTCCGTGTTTTGCCGATGGCCTCGTCATCATGAAATCGGCAGCAATGCTAGCAGCCTCCAACACTAGAGAATGAAAACCAATTACGATCAGAACGCCGTAACCTCATCTGGGCTGACTTTGGTAGCAATTTGCAGTAACGAACCAGTTAATTAAGTAAACCACTGGCATTCCTTAGTAGTTTTTTCTTCTCGCTCATCGATCAGCGACAGCGTCTCCCGCGCGGGCGTGGCGGGCGGCAGTCGTCCAATAGCGGCCCGTCCGCCTCATTTGTCGGCAGGATGGTGTGCGGCATAGCCGCCGCCTCTGCGCTGAATACCCTGCCTTGACCGAGTGCGCCTGATCAGCCGGTCGGCCGGCGCCCCTGACGGCAGAGGGTACTCTAATGGATGTGGGGGCCGCGGGGCCCGCGCCTCAGCCTCATCGAGGCGGCTATCTCCTCCTCTCCCCGGTCGCGGCGATTTGTAAGCCCGGGTCGGTGCGCCCGCGCGCCCCGGGAGGGGAACGGACCGCGCGCTGCGTCTTTTTGTTCGTGTCAAGGCCTGGGCCGTCACTGTCAGCGGCAGGCGCCCGCCGGGGAGCGAACCAGTCAAAGGTATTGTCGCTGACTTAACGGCTGCTGGGGGGGGGGGGGCGTGTGTCACAAGAAACATTGTAGTAGTTATCTTACCTTTTTGCAGTGGATGCAATAGATCCCCAGTTGGCCGTGTGGGCTGTCAGTAGGCCTGTGGTTTTAACATTTACTGACAGCTGGCGCTATTTCGAAGCTCGGACTTCAAACGATGTGGAGCGTTTGAATTTCTCAAAAACACGTACCCACATTACATAGAGTCGAGGCAACCAATGACATCACGCGGAGCACAGGATTTTGATGGTCACTTTGCCGACAGTTCCAAATAATAGCTATTCGCAGACGTAGTGGAGTAAAGGAGTGGCGACCCCCTTGAGTAAAATAGAAGCTAGTGCATCCAAATGAGCTGACTGTCTACCACGACACGTTTATCGTTTTGTGCGCCTCAAAAAGATCACCGGCCTTTCTAGGCAATGGCCTCCTTTGACTTCGTGTCGGTCCCAGTGCTGTGCTTTGACGGCCGGAGGCACAGATGTGCCTGACGTATCGTCAAACAGCGTTAGAGGTCACACGCGTACCGTTACCGCTGCCTGACACCGGCCGAAGGCCGTGTGTCATCAGGTGGAGAACAGCTACGCTCTGGTCTAAACTTGATTGCGCATAAGTCTTGATTCACGTATGGATCTAGATCTAACTTGTCCCATGCAATCTGAACATAGTTTTCCGTAATTATTCTGCAGGAGCTCTAGATGTACCATCCCACAGAGTTTTTAGTGGAATCCTTTCACTGGACTCCTTGCTCGCCAACGCAGAGACGCGATTTGTTCAAGATCCACACTGGACTTGCCAAATGCTGTCAAACTATTTGTACGGCGGTTGATTAGATCAAACCACCTTGGCTGTATGCGAAAGTCATTTAGAACGCTTGCGATATCTTGTGTCTTTCAAATCACGCCATTTAGATAATCTCGACCCAACCGAACCGAGGGTTGAGTG